ACTCCTAGTGTATTTTGCTTCTCATCAATTCTAATTTTTCTTCCTCTATGTATACTCTTCTTTTAGGACTTGCATATGGTGTTGATCGACTTAGAAAAAACATACGATAAAGTTCCGAGGGAGGTTTTGTGGCATGTTTGGAGGTTAGAGGTGTACCTATTACTTACGTTAGGTTGATTAAGGACATGTATGATGGAGTAAACACCCGAGTGAGGACGGTGGGCGGGTACTCTTATCATTTTTCGATTATGATGGGGTTGCATCAGGGGTCAGCACTCAGCCTTTTTTGTTTGCTCTGGTGATGGATGTACTAATCTTCTACATCCAAAGGGAGATGCCGTGGTGTATGCTATTTTCAGATGATATTGTATTGATCGACGAGATGTGAGACGACGTGAATGCGCAGTTAGATATATTGAGGCAGACCCTGGAATCTAAATATTTCAAGTTGAGCAGGTCCATTGTAATTTCAGTGGCGAGAGTCAAGGAGGGGAGGGGGAGGGGGAGGTGAGTTAGTCAGACCAACGATATTGTATGGGGCTGAGTGTTGGCCAGTCAAGATCGCTCATGTCTAGAAGATGAAGGTAGCAGAGAAGAGGATATTGAGATGGATGTGCGGACACACTAGGTTAGATAGAATTAGAAATGAGGTTATTCGCGACAAGGTGGGTGTGACCCCTATTGAGGACAAGATGCGGGAAGCGCGGCTTAGGTAGTTTGGTCATGTGAGGAGGAGGAGCACAGACGCCCCGGTGAGGAGGTATGAGAGGTTGACATTGGAGGGCCTACGAAGAGGTAGAGGTAGGCTTAAGAAGAGGTGGAGAGAGGTGATTAGGCAAGACATGGGGCAACTTCAGCTAACCGAGGACATGACCCTTGATAGGAAGGTATGGAGGTCGAGGATTAGGGTAGTAGAGTATGTAGTCTAGAGTGGTCATAACAATAGTATTGACGCATTTATGACTAACCGTTATTTTCTTTCATTGTTGATCACCTTACTGTCTTGTTGTTTTTATTCTGCTTTTATATGGCCTTTTGGTACTGTCCCTTTTTGTCTATATTTTTATTATTGTGGTGCTTATACTTTCCTGAGTCGAAAGCCTATTGAAAACAACCTCTCTATCATCACAAGGTAGGGGTAAGGTCTGCGTACACACTACCCTCCCAGACCCCACAGTGTGGGATAATACTGGGTATGTTGTTGTTGTTGTTATATGTATACTCTTCTTTTTATACTCTGTTTTTAACGATTTTATTTTTTAACTTCTAACTTAGTTTTTCTGAATTAGCTATTTTTTTGGTCATATTTGATTGATCCAGACAAAAGAAAGCAAGTTATTTTGTCTCTCAACATTTTTTAACTAAGAAATCTTCGACGGAGACTCTTAGCACTAGACCAAAGTCACGTGGGGCTTCTTTTGTATCACATTATTATATTTATTTTATGAATGAAATTTAAGGGCCTTTTAATATATTTTGGCTTTAGGCCACAAAATTCGTTGAGCCATCCATGTCGGTAGTTATTGGGTCTCGCTGGATACCCGAGAACTTCTGGTGATGACTGACAAGTGGCGTGAACGAGGGAATCTAAGTTTTGTTCTATGGGGGCGTAAAGAAAGAAGTAATTTGGGGCTTTTTGAAGGAGGGGTTTAATCAAAAGAAAAAGAGGGTCGGGGTGTTGTGTACCTAAAGTAAAAGAGCAAACAATAAGAGGTCGTTTGGTAGCCGATTAGAGAGGAGTTTTATCCATGTATTAAAATTAGGATAACTTTATACACTATTTGATTAAAAGAAGGGGAAAAAATGATCTCCACATAGAAGCTATCATAAGTTATACAATGTTTGATTATTTTTTTCTCTTTTTCACATAAAATGTAGCATTGCTAATATAATGTTTGGTTCATATTTTTCTTTTCCGCATAGCTAATACATGTATAAGTTATGAGGGAATTTATATATTATTTATGCAGAGTAGAATAACTTACATGTATTTGTAATACTTGTTTTAAAATATAAAATGACAAGAATACCCTTTATTCAAACTTGTATTTTTTTTATTTAAAAATATATATTTAAACTATGCTAACAGTTTTAATAAAATAAAGTAAGCTAATAATAAATAACACTCACATTACATTTATATTACTAATCCTTATATAACTACTGCATAACTAATCACCGCATAACTAATCCATGCATAACTAATCCTAACATAACTCAACCTTGCATAACACATACATAACTAATACCTGCATAACTAATACATATATAACTAATACCTGCATAACTCTAACCGACAACCAAACGACCCCTATGAATAAAACAATCTGGGATGCAGATAGTGGTTATGCTAAAAATCGAAAAACCTTAAGGAGAGGTAGTCAACAATCGAACCAGGGACAACTAGGGCTGTTCAAAACCGAACCGAAGCCGTTAACCGAACCGAACTGATAGCTTATTGGCTTATTGGTATCGGATTATCGGGGTAATAAATGGTGAATGGATTGAGATTTTATAATTAACGGCTTAACGGTTTGGGGGCAGTTTACTCAATTTTCTTATTGGGTAAACCATTAACCTGTTAAGAATTTTTATATTTATACTTTTACCCCTATGTATATAAAGTACTACTGAGAAGTCGCTAGTCACCAGAGCTTAGAAAATCTTTCAGCAGTTCTGCAACTTAACTTAGATGCCTTCTGCAACGAAAATGTCATCTAAGTTACTTAGTTTCCACTTAGATGCCTTAGAAGTTACGTTCCAACAGATTCAAACTATGTACTTGCAGCAGATTCAGACTATGTTGCCTTAGATGGCATTTGGACTAAGTAACTTAGATACCTTTATAATAACCAAATGAAAAATAAGTGAAAACTAATAAGAAGTTAGAAGTGCATCTGTATTTTGTGCAGTAGTGATAGAATTATTTTTTTCATAGCAAAATTTTACCAGCTATATAATACAATTGTTTAATCAATACTTTCCAGAAAATATGCATGAAAATTAAGATAGTGCAAACACAATTTCAAGATAGAATCAAAGAAGATATCAACACAACATCTCAAGATAGAACTAGAGAAAGAGATCTATGATAATGGTCAGAACTGGAAGTAATTTGTAGATCCTAGATGGAATTGATTTGAAACCGTTTGGTATTGATCGAATGATTGTTCAAAAAATTTTTATTTGACTTAGCCGATAAACCGCCCGATAATCGTTAATCCGATACCAATCCTCCTGTTGTCTTATTGGATGGCTAGCAGATTACTATATTTATAATCCGATAACCGATAAGCCGAACCGTTAAGCATAATTATCCGCCCGATNTGAAACCGACAAACCGCACCAACCCGATAATCCGAGTCAAACCGAGAACAAAAACCCGACTATGGTTTGGTGTTGGAAAAAAAAAACCGACCATATTTGGTTTGGTTTGGTTTTAACTAAAAAAAATCAAACCGAAACCAAACCAACCCGACATTATATGTATAGAAGTTTTAAATATATTTAATACATAAACATATTTATGGTAGTGTAGTTTATAAATATTTTTTAAGCTTTTTCACAGTTTTATCTTTTAACGTATTATTTCAAGCTTGAGCTTATAATTTTTGGATGCTCCAATAAATTTTATAGTCCATAAATATTAGTAACTCAAATAAATCCTAAACCAAAATCAAATCAATACTAATGCTAATTAAAGACAATCAATTCAATTGTACTATGCATGAAAATAGTGTTGGATATCTATTTTTTAGTTTTTCCATGGTTTAGATAAAATGTATAACTTATTTTTCTTTTAGTGGTTAGTCATGTAAATAATACTACTTATTAGTCATAATTTTAAATTATGTTTGTTTTTATTATGGCTTATTAATAATATTTATTTTATGCGATTTTACTATCTTTATTATTGAATATTTTAGTACAATGCCATGACTCATCTCATATTTATGTTATTTTATTGAAAAATACCTTATATAGTTCTGTCTTACTATGATTAAAGAAATATTTGGAGCACAAATTTTACGTTTTGTGCTATGAAGACTTTATGAAAAAAAAACGAAAAATCCTAGATTAAAAATTCCGACTTTTATTGATTTAGTTTGGTATTTAGATTTAATAACTCGATACAATTGATTTGATTTGGTAATTAGAATATCCGAACGAACCAGACTCATGTACCCCTGCATAATAATGTTACTTTAGAAAGAATATGAACACAACTTGTAACTAGTAGGACCCCCAAAAGAGGAAAAAGTTCAAAAGACAGAATAAATATAATACAATCGGGAGCAGTATTGATAAACTCATAACACATAAATAATTCAGGGCTTGCAGATACCTTAGGTGAAATCTACAATTTTTATGCCCTTATTAAAACTATACAAACGCGCGTGACCCGCAAAACCCAATAAAACATGGGACAGATCGGGCAACACAAGCATAACTAACTAGCTAGGTGCTAAAATGTTTATAAAACTATATAGTATATATTACATATAAATAGGCAAACTTATACTATCTTTTAATTCACTATGATTCTACTAGGAAGGAGAACTGGTGGTATATGCACTTCTTGGAAACTACTCTCGCAAGTCACAAGTTTCACTACAGAACGAGCACTTAGGCTATACCTTTCTTGAGCTTCCATAAATCCCTTGCTAAGAACATGTTGAATCCAATCTTCTACTTTCTTGCTATCTGTTAAACATGCTGCTGCCAGAATTTGTTTCAATACTTTCGTGTCCATCTCTAGCAAACATTCTGGACTTACAATTCTGTGGAACCATAGTCTGATCTCTTTCAACAGCTTCTCAGCCAGTGAGTCGAAATCAAATGGCCTGAAAATCACCGTCTCATCAAATTGTGCAAATAATTCTTTCAACCATGAGTCGCATCCTGAATCTCCATTAAATGTGTCATAATTTTCACTCTCTTCAGCTGGAAGATTCAAATCTAGGCATGTATTTGACGCCTTGTGTGCTCGTTTGGCTATCTCCGAGCTTCCACATTGCTGATCTACACGTTCGCTTGAACCAGCAAGCTTTCTTTTATTCACAGTAAGCTTTCTAGTTGTTACTAATGTACTTGAGTTGGGACTTTTGACATCATCTGCAAGATCAAATGCTATTAGCATCTGGATTTGCAATCCTTTAGCTGCCAATATATCTTCCTCACTATAGTCATGAGATGTCTCTTTGGTAGAATGAAGAGTTGTTTCTTCATCTAATCTTGATGATGTTGTCACAAAGATTGCATTAGCTATGCTAACTTGTCTACCATGAGAATCAGAAAATCGACCCGTCTTAACAGCCTGGGACAAGCTTTTCTGAACGAGTAAGTCAGCTTTATCGACATTTTCAAGGAGAACAACAGATAAGGGGTTGTTCCTCAATTTATCAGAAACATAATCAACAACATGCTTCCCTCTGAATTTCACATCATATCTGTTCAATACCTGGAGATCAAACAACCCGACTTCGTCCTGGAGACTTAGATCCACAGAGATTAGGTTGTTTGTGCTTCCATATAGAATCTCCGCCAATGCAATCACAACTTTCTTCTTACCAATCTTATCAGGTCCAAGGAAATTGAGCCATATGTCCCCACGATGTATGCAATGGCTTCTTTCGTTTCTACTTCTGCACCGAGCTATTGTTTGGCTAATAGCATTTACAGCTTCCTCTTGCCATTCGACCTTTTCCATAAGAGCTGCGTATAGCATCTTGAAATCTTTTGGATCCAATTGCTTGTGGAGACACTGAAGAGAATTAGAAGATGGCGATAGTGGGGACTGGTTAAAGAAACTCCCCGAGACCACCTCAGCACTTGCAGATACATCGGATGATATATGATGTGCTTGATTGATGCTACTCGGAATTGTCAGCTGCTCTTGTTCTTTGCCTGGAGAAGTAGAGGCCACACACAAACCTAAATCTGTTGTCACTGAAGTTACAGAGGCTGGAGAGTTGAGGCCACCCTCAACGACACTTTTTGAAGGCGTTTCACTAAACTTGGAGAGAAATTTATCATTGCCGGTCTCTGATATCATACCTAAAGGACTGCTTTCATTTGATGAAGACATTGTTAACATGCTGGAATTCATATTCTTCCTGCCAGTTTCTGCTGAAGATGCATTTGTGTGGCCGCTTTTGTGGTCGTTGATGCCTTCTTTTTGGTCTTGATCAACAACTTGAAAGCCTACAACAGATGGAACTTGAGAACCCAACGGAAAACTGCTAGTCTTGGGTAATGGTTGATTGTAATGTAAACGCTGACAGAGATTGTCCCATTTTCTCTGCAAACCAGCAACTTTAGCACCAAATACCATTTTATCATCTTTGGCCTGCACTGAAGATATATAAAAAAGTTATTACATGATTAGACCGGAACATTGTGAAGATTGCCGTAAGGTGTATTTGGTACAAAAGCTATTTTTCAAGAAAATTTGTTACATGAGAAGGTTATTTTCTGGTGTTTGGTTACCCAAGAACATGTTTTCCGTCAAAGAGGGAAATGACTTTTCAACTTGGAGGTGGAAGTCCTTTTTCTTACAACTACTTAATTTTTTAATTTTTTTTATAACTAACAATATTATTACCAAAATTGAGCGTGATGTACAGAGGATAATACAACTATTTTAACTTTTAGTTTCATATTACTTGCTCTAATTGACACTTAAATTTTATTATTGATCTTTATAACTCAATATTTCATCAGAACACTCTTTAACAAAACAAACTCCGATATACTAATATTATTATTAAACTTTATTATGCACTTTTTCCAGATTTTTTTTTTACTCACCGACCTAACATGGAAAATATTTATCATAGAAAATGATTTCGGCACACCAAACACACTAGCGGTTAAGTAATTCTGAAATCTCTAGGCACACAGTTCATATATAACTCCAGATCAGTTGAAGCGTCGAAGAGAAAACTGCTGAACCTAAACAAAAGGAATAGAAGGTTCATGAAAACTGTTATCTATACATTTTTGTATGTGCATATGTATACATAGTTTGAGCTAAAAATAACAAGTTCAGTTGAACGAATCCGAGAGCCTTATTTGTATAATATTGTGCTAGTACTAGAAAAATAGAGAAGTTGACTAGTAGAATTGAGAGAAACACAGACCTTCATAGAGTGGAGTTGATCAGTCATTTGCAACCAAGAAGGCAGACTTGATTGGCAGTGATCTGCAACTGAAACACTGCTAAATCCATTCTTTGAGAGTGTGTTTATCTCTTGTTTGCATTTCTCATTGCAGAGGTGACAGCGGGATGCACTCTGGTATGAGCAGCTAATTAACGGGCTTTTAATATCATGATCAGCAGCTGCTGCTGAAAAGAATCCTCCAAACGGCACAAAAGATTCCATCAAGCTGTGAAGCCAAATGGGAACTTTTAATGAACAACTTAATTTCTCACATAAACTATTTCTGTCTCTCCTTTAAAGTAATTTTCAATTTTCACCTACACTATTTTCATGAATAGAAGCTTCATCTTTTTTTCTGAATTTTGAATTAATATTCACAAATTTCCGGCTTCAACCTTAGAATTTGTTAGCTTCAATAAAAATATCCTCAATTATTAACCAAACTGGACAATCTAACTTCCTTAACAACTTGTTTGGATGGTTGTTACCTATCATATTGCATTGTGTTGTTACTTTAAATATAATGTTTGTTTTGATTGCTACTTTAATCTTATTGTACCGTATCGTTAAATTCAAAAGTGTCACTTTATGAAACGACAGATTTGGTGTGGTGGCGTCGTTTCTTTGCTTTTTTCCTCGCATCTTGCCCTTCTTTATTATTAAATAATCATATTTTATTCTTTATCCTACTTTTTTGTATAATAATTCAACTCCGTATCCTATTTTTTCTTAGTAATGTTGCAAGTTTATTCTTCATATTGTTAGTGTGACATCGTGAAACGACGGCAAACGATACAATCTATCCAAACATTGTATTCATCAAACAATACAATACATTATAGTACAATACAATACGATACATTATGAAACGACATGTAACAACAATCCAAACAAGCTGTAACTAAAACTATTAGTAACTCTTTATTCTTTCATTTAACATATCAACCTATTAATAACACTAAATAATTTGTCTTTTAAAGGATTCATTAAAACTATCTCTGATGTTCGAGCCGCGGAAGTAGACATTAATGTTTACTTTAGGGTAGACTCTTGGGGTGCGGCCCTTCCCCGGAGCCTGTGTTAACGCGGAATGCTTTGTATGTCGGACTGTCTTTTTTTTTAAAATTAAAAGTTGTCCAAATGTCTCACATTTCTGCTTGGACTTATAGGTCCTGCATTCGAATCGTGGAAGCAACCACTAATACTTGTATTAGGGTAGACTGTCTACCTCACACCCCTTAGGGTGTGGCCCTTTCCCAAACCCTGCATTAATGCGAGATGCTTTATGCACCGGGGTGCCTTTTTAAAAACTAAAAGTTGTCCAAAAGTCTCACATGTCTACTTGGACTAGTCCTTCACTAGTATCGGACAAGAAAATGCAAACAAACTACACCACAGATAAAAACAACAGAATCAAAAAGCTAAGATATGCTGCGTGCATATCTAAAGTACATTATACTCAGTTCCACTTCATGGTAACAATAATTACTAAAGAAACCAAGTGAAATAATTTAACAATCTGAATATCTACTGGAAAGAGTTTTCAGCTTACCTGGATCTGGGAAATGATTCTTCCTTTGGAGGCCCTGAAGAAGTGATTGCCAAAATTTGCAAGTCCCAATCTTTCTCTATGTAAGGAAATCTATTCAAAACTTTCAAATATATCTCATACCTCTCCACCCACCCAATCAACCATAACTTGCCATGATAAATCTCTAATAAACTTATCAATTTGCTAACTATATACCTGCAAGAATCAATAGAAGTATCATCTCTTGCTAAAACTTTTAAATCTCCATAATTTACTACGAGACCAGACCCTATACTATGCATCACTATAGTTCCAATTTCCTCAAACTTCAACTTCACTAATTCCTCATTACATTCACCTGTAACAAACCTCAATATCTCATTCTCAATAGAAATCACACTCAATCCACATACCTCTAGGGGAAGAATTCCTCCTCCTTTTTTCATCTCTACCATTTCCAAGAAACTGTTCATAGAACCATGTGCAAAAGTACCAAGAAGCAGTGGATTGTTTCCTCTATTCTTGATAAAAACCTCCCCAATTCTCCTGCAATCATCTTCTCCCCCACTAAAACTCAAGAAAGGGAAGCTAAAATTACGGTTATACGAATCCGTTTGACTGCTTAAATTACACATAAACAAGGGTGGTGTTCTGAATCTTGAATATCTGAAGAGTTGATGAACAGGCCTAAGAATAGCAAGCTTAATATCACAACTCCTAAAACCAGCTTCACCAAATACTCTGCTCACAACAGGATCATCAAGTACAGAAATGATGAGATTCCGCAGCTCAACTTTAACTACTGGAACTGAAGAACAAGAAGCTGACTGATTCTGCTGTTGCAGTTGCAGTTGCTGATAGAAATTGAAATTCTCCGGCTGTCGTCTTTGGTTCGCTTGAGACCGCTTTATGGCAGCCATGAGAGAATTCGAAACAGGTGGATCGTCGATCTTGTTAGGCGACGAAGGTAACCGGTCCATTGACACCCCTAAACAGAGTTCTAGAGCTTTGAATTGGACGCGTACAGAGTACGCATGGTTACGTGTACGCGAACACGCCTCACGTAAACATGAAGAAGGAAGAGATAATAAGGAAGATATGAAATGAAGAGATGTAGTTTGAGTGTGGCCGCGACGAGCTGCTACGGCCACAGCATCGTCGAGGGTTACGGCTGCTTCTTGTGTCAAGCATTGCTTGGCACTACTAACTGGCGTTGGCATCTCCGGAAGATTAAAATACAAAGTCCTTTGTTGTTGTTGTTGTAGGGGTAAACGTGAACACAAAGTACGGAATTCTTGAAATGTCACTTAGTAGTATCAAGAAAACATAAAATATAGGAGTAAAAGCTACTAGCACAAAAGAGCTGACAACAAAGTACTAACAATATATATATATATATNTTATATTAATATTAAATACTATAAGAAAGAAAGAAAGAAGGAAGGAAGGAAAGTTGAGAAATATGGTGGCAGAACCTGTTAATAGAAACATCAAGTGTATCCATCACATGGGGGTATTCTTGTGTTATTTATGGGTAGGAGAGGAAGGAAAGAGAGGTCCTAGGAGGGAGATGGTGGGGTTAAATGTTTGTTTGTTGATGGTGCTTCACACTGTTAGTGGCTGCTGTTGGTGTTGGTGGTGGGGAGACTTGTGATGGTTATACCAGTAGGGGACCATTTTTTTAGACACAACACAAGGCAAGTGTAGGCGGTAACTGAGTATACTATTCCCAATTTGCGTGATATTCTTTCCTTTTTTGTCAATACCTTCTAAAGTTATTGTCACAAAAATATCTATATATATATATATATATATATATATATATATNCAATGCTTGACGAGATCGCTAGCATCCTTCTAAAGAGTAGGCCAATAGAATCCACAACTCAACACTTTTGCTGCCATTCTAACTTCCCCATGGAGATATATATATAGCTTGTTTTATACCACAAACTTCAATAATCATTAGTAATATTTTTTTTTAAACTTAGTGTTCAATCAAACACTATCACATAAATAGTACATTTGAAATCTTTGTGAACTTATTATATTTATTACTTATAATTCTTGTTACTAGGGTACCAATATATACTCAGTGTATCATGAGTCATGACAGTGAGAGAGAGATGCTGAGTCCACTCATTAAGTAATGGGCCAAATAGGACTCTAACGTCACTTTCTACTTGTAGTATGGTCTATTTCTAGTGCAGCAATACACAAACCGTTTGCATCCAAATCTATGTGAATGGTATAAAAGTGTGTCAAGAAGTTAAGTCAAGAAGCATCTTAATCCTGTTTCGCAAAATCAGTCCAAACATATTTTTAACATAGTGCAATAATGTTCGATTTGGATGGTATTCACTTAATACTTCTCGAAAAGTCTCATACTTTTAAAATTATCACTACACTTTATATACAATTTATTTTCATTAATAACTTCTAATATGAGACTGTGTTCTTCGTACCCAACATATCTCTAAAAATATTGTGCTGATTCTTAAAATATTGTTTGAGAGCTTCTTTTCTTCTTTCTAACTTTCTTTATTCTTCAAGAATCAAGGTTCCACTGTTTTACAAAAGCAACCTAATTCCAAATATTTTTGTAATCTTGGTTTCTGTAAATTCAATTTAGCAATAATGAAAGATACTCTACTGGTCATTAGCATAATATTGTTGACTTAGGCAAAATACCAATAGCCTCAAAGAGTTTCTTCTTTATTATTTCCTCCACTAGTTGCATAATTATAATGAGGTATTCTTTACTGCATTGTAATCATTAGTGTTGATCACTTCGTGCATTCTTGAAGGTAAAGGTAAATTTCTACTATTAATTTTTCTTTTGCTAATTCAATGAGCTAATTATACCATAAAGGTCAGAGGAGGAATGATTTGACAACAAAAAAAAGCGACCAAAGTCGTCAACTGTAGACTCCCTTGTCATCTTCCCATTTGCACAAAAAGTATTTGATTCGGAATGCCTTACACTTTCTATTAACATTATGAGCACTTATGTGAAAGAATGTAAGAATCCTTTTGACTTTCGTTAGAGCACTTTGAGATTCATTATTAGTTTAAATGTTTCTAGGGGTTTGCAAGTAAATTCAGATAGATAAAGTTATAGTTTTTAGATAGATAAAAATTAATTTACAGCAATAGAGGATCTAGACATAACATATCAATATAATCTTGTGTTTGTATTGAGATACACATATAGGGTGTGCTTTGTAGAGAGGAAAACTTTATCTCAAAAATATTTTTCAAATTTTTCATATTTGGCTGAATTAAATATTCTAAAAAAATTATCTTATGAACTCATTTTTCTTCAATTTTAGAAAATTAACTCCCCTACTAAAAGTAAATTTGTTTTGAAACTCACTTACAATACTCCCCATCCACACCGCCACCCCATTTAAACCCCGCCATCCCCAGCCCCTTGACCTACCTCCCGCCTGTTAAAATTATACCCCACTTATACACGAGAGGAGGAGTAAATAGTGTATTGACCAATTAGAATTCTCAACCAGTAGTTTACATTTTCCTCATAACCTGGTTCTTAAACTGGTTCTTGTAATTCCTGTAATAAATGCGGAAAATAAAGAAAACAAGAATTGTACGTGAAAAACTTCCTTACTTAAGGGAGTAAAAACCACGAACCCAACTTTGGATTTTTTCTCACAAACTTAACTAACAACAACGAGCAACTTCAGGTTATAAAACTCTTTTATAATATAAGAGACTAAATCTAGTCACTCACCAGCCTACAATCAAATTGATCGTAGCTACTCACTCCAAACTAATATTTTACTTTAGAACAAAATATTGCCACTCAAAGGTTCTTACAAATAGCTTCTAATACAAGCAGAGTAAAATTACAACTCAAAATACTTATTACAAGATCAAGAAAATATGAACTAAACTTGAATCAGTCTCTAGAATTGCGTTCTTCAATTTGTCTTACTCTTGGTTCTTGTAAAGTTACTGCTCACAAGAAGGATCACTTAGATTTGTGTGTAGGTGCGCAACCCCTGCCAAAATAAACTCATCCTATATATATGAATACATAGTAGACGGCTAGGAATAAAAGATTGTTAACCAAGTTGCACAAAATCTCCTAATCCTAGTAAATAAAGGAAGTAAAAGGATTTTCCTTCGATCTTCCAAAGAAGTAAATTTTATTTCCACAAGTACTTCCGTAAATCTTGGCCTAAACTTGACCTAAAAAGATCTGCCAAGATTTTCTGACGTAAGCACGTGGCTTTCAGGTCGACATAGTATAGATACATCTTTGTCTTGCGTGAAAATGAATCCCATTCTCGCTAAGACTCTGAGCTGTACAAGAATCACCAGTAGACCTAAGGGCTAAGCCTCAACAGATAACATGTTTGTTGATCATCAAAACTCAATTTCCAACAAAAATTCCCCTTTTTGATGAAAACAAACAACTGAACACGAACCAAAATATTCACTTTCCCCTTTGGCATCATTGAAAATATAAAATAAGGTTAACTAGCAGTTTTATGGCCACTGGGACTACACAACATTCAATCAAGTAAAAGACATCCAGAACAATCAATCTATGGATGCTAGCCATCAAAAAGTAAAAATATTAATGCAAGATAGGAATCGCCAGGGAAAAATTGTAAATTAGTTAAGGCATCATCATCAATCCATAAAAATCAAGTCATAATTGTTAATTACATGGCCACAAAACAAGTTTAACTGAATGGAAACTGCATAAAAAATGAGGTCTAAAGGAGTTTGGGACTATGAATAGACGGGGATGGCTGGGCTGAATGAGTAGGTGTGAGGCCAGAGGACTATAGATGTGCCACTAAAGTAGCTAGATTTTCGAAATTCCAGTCCCTTTCTCTACTCAAGTCCTCCTATAGCTTTTGACTAACATTCTTTATTCTGACAATCTCTGCAGCTTGTATCTTGACCTATTATTGTAGGGCCAATATTTATTATTGAAGCTTTGAATTTTTAGCACTGTCAGGAGAGCCACCAGCAGGAACAAGTTCCTCTTCAGCCTCCTCTTTATACCCACAACTGTTCAAAATTTATTCCCCAAACTCATTCAGTATATTTGCATATTTCCACTTGCTGACAGGAGTTCTAAAGTGAGCAATTACCTCAGACAAAAAGAACTCATAGGGAATGGAATGCTCACTCTTGGACATATTTGCCGCTCTAGCTATGTGGTTGATCATTACCTCAGGCAAGTTAATCTTTTCTTCCTTCTTCAGTAGATCCATATAGGTCATGTCAAGAGCATTGATTTTATGTCTCCTTTTGGACCTGCTTGTTACCACTCTTTCAACTACATTGCAGTGGATAAAGAGTTCCACTATTTCTTGCCAAAATCTTATGTGTTATTTTAGAAACAGGGTCTTCCACCCTTGTTTCTCCATTTTTTCGACTAGTTTTTTGATTCCATATCTATTGACAACGGAGATTATCTTTTCTCTCAACATATTGGCCTTAAAAAACCACAAGAGCCTCAAATTAATATCCAACGACACCTGATTCACGTAGCTTTCTTTTTTCCTTTCCTCCATTTCTAAAGCTATTTCAAAATATGTAGCCTCGACCTGCTTTTTGCTTCCCTTGGTATATGGCCTTTTGCCGGGGGAGGATTGGAAGCAAAAGCTCCCTTCTTTTCAATTCTAACTGGTTCTCTAGTTTTCCTCACTAATCTTCTCGTTTTTGGGGTCTTTGGAGGGGAACCTGATCCAGTTCTCAAGTCCCTCTTCTTTCCTTTCTTCCCCTAATTTATTCCCATATACAAATACCGGGGGCACATCATCCTCATCGTGATATACTAGCTTAAGACTAGTTTTTTATATTGACTTTGAGATCTCTCTTCTCCCAGAGTTGGTTCATTGACAGAAGAGGAAATAAATTCAGATATAGAGTTATCAGCTGGTGCCCAATTTATCTATGCATCTTCACCACCAGTTTCCTCCTTTATTACTCCTTCATTGTCAGTCAGGGGAGCAACTGTAGACTCATGGTCATCAATTATGCTCTGTCTTCCTTTATAGGTCCTATTTGCGTATCAGAAATTAGATCTTCCACTATATCCTCTCTAACAAACCTAGAATCAGGTCCTTGTTTCCTCTCAACTGAGGTTCCAACTCCTACACATGGTTCCCCCTGAGTATTAGTACCCAAGTGCTTATCCACAGCCACATTTCCTTCCTTTTTAGAATACTCCATAGTACCAACAATATTAGATTCATTAATTGTTCCCCTTTGTTCACTCACACCTTCACCAGGCTCAACCTAGATTTTTCTCTACTTGTTGTTTCCACATATGTACTTTTTAAATCACTAGTAGTGGGGTTTTCAGTTATTATCTCGGCATTTGAT